GATTTTGGAGGCTGGTAAGTGCTGAGAGGGAGTCACTAAATATTGTAATRTTGTTGTCGTTTATTTCAGATATGGTGAACTCGATAGCTTTAAGAATCGCCAGGGCTTCTGCTGTATAAATAGAGCATTTGTCTGAGAGTTTCCATTGTAAATATAGTTATTTTATTCGCATTAAATAAATACCACACATGTATTTTAGATGCGGTCCGTCTAACGCTGTGATTTTATGACGTCACGCGTAAAATGCGAATTATATTTAAACACAGAATCAATTGTCCGACATCAATTTTAAGACAACCAAAATAATTCTTTTTTAAAGCAATATATATATTCTCATAATAAAAAATATTTCAATTTTTTTTAGTTGTGAACTGGATGACAAGTTTCATTCAATACCAATTAACATTACATACTAAAGTTGAATTTTTTAATGTATGTAATGTTTATGGGTGTTGAGTGAAACTTTTTACTCAGTTTCTAAGCTAGTGAGTTAGTATAATGGATGTATTGAATGTGAATTCAATCAAAAATCGTTACATGCGAAACTAGATAATGGGCGGCAAGGGCGTTAATATTTAAATTTTATGTATTACACTAATACTTAATATATGTTATTCATATTTTTTAAAATAGCAATAATAAGCATTTAAGTATAAAAAAAAATAATTTTTTAATTGACCAATTCCATTAATTATTTTTACACAGATTACCGTCATAACACATTATTGAAATGACATAGGAACTTAAACCACCAAATTGGGCCCTCGAAGTACTTAGATTTCTTAACTATAAGATACCACAGCGTTAGATGAATCGTTGATATAGTCACAGTCCGCCACTTTTTCCTTGGCCATCCCGTTCTCTTGATCTTACAATATGTGATTTTTTTTTTTGGAAGGGGGTTTATAAAAAACAATATACATTCCCTTCTAAAAGATCTTGATGAACTGAAAAGTTGCATTGCAAACGCCACACTGTTGATTACGATCGACATGCTTTAACAAGTCTACAAAGGATTTGAGTATCTCTAAAATGTGTGCAGTTAAATTGAATATTTGTGTATATTTTAACAAAAACTTTATGTAACTATTAACCTTTAAACATATTTCAAACTTATAATTAATACAGTTCCACAGTAGATATTTATTTTTATTAAATGTGTTATTATTTTGAAACATCCTGTATTATTATTATTGTTATTTTATTTGTAAATTTGTTCATTAAAAATTTCTTGTTAATTATCATAGATTTTTTTACATGCGTAAACAGTACCATTAAACTATAATACGTTTATCATTATATGATTGRTTGAAAACGCGAAATTAGTGTGTTCATGTGACTACTGAAATCAGTGACTACATCGCATTCGAGAACAATGATGAGTATTCATATTCAATTATTCTTAGAGGATCTTTGATAATCTCATAATATTATTTTTCATCGCAATTCAACGATATGAATAATAATTATATAACTTATAAATTATAAATATGAATTATAGTGTTAAAGTGACACGGCGTGTTGGATAGGCAATTTAGCTACCTACGTCACACTTTCGAAGGTCAGCATTTCTCAATTTCGAATAATGCTTTACGATAAGGTACAAATATAGGTACATTACGAATATATCCTAAGAAATATATTGCATAAAATAACGTACCTATATAATGGCGTTTGCCGCCTAGTTGCACTATTGCACTAAGGGCGCACTGAGTGCCATTTGCGTGTTCCATCTACCACTACGTGTTTGCACAACTCCAGTATATTTGTCAAAAAAGATACTAGTATAAAATGTATCATGATACATGATACTTGATACTTTAAAATTATGTATCATGATACAAGATATAATTGTATCATTGATACGTATCTTTGATACTGTCCAACCCTGAATATTGGTACATCAAACTAMCCACTCATAACTTAATCTGTATTATATCTAAATATGCATACTTATTATTATTAGGGCTGCCTTAATTTACCATAAAATATACATAGATACCTACCATTATTATATTTTCTTTTGTTATTGATAAAAAAAAAAAAAATCGGCAGCTATGGCCATTAGTTACAATTTTAGTAAGTGGGTATTTACAGTCTTAATATATATATTTTATAGAGTAAAAAATTTAAAAAAAACAATAGTATATTGTGTGGCAAGGGCGGGAAGTGAGCCACACATACTATTGTTTGTCACGCCCCTCCGTTCAAGCAAAAGGTTATGCAGGCATCTATGCAACAATTATAGACTATTCTACAAAAACAATTTCATGGAAGACATTTTATTTGATTTCAAAATTACAATTTTCACTTTGTTTATTTTATTATTGTAACTGATAAGATCATAAATAAATAATATAATATACTAATATAATATAATATAATATAATATAATATAATATAATATAATATAATATAATATATAATAATATAATATAATAATATATAATATAATATATTATAATATAATATATAATATACTATATTATTACTAACGCATCGTTCGACGCACTTATCTAAAAACAGTGCAAATTAAATATGTTTAAATGTTTATGCGTCATGCAAGGAGGTTATACTATACATTTAARATGTAACCAAAAGTTTATGTTTTGTAAGAACCGTGGTAGGTATACATTTTAGTTTCTGGTTGTGCAGGGGATACGCGCCCGGCGGCCKGCACTTTTGGGGATTTCTTCTTTTCCGCCCAGCACTTTTGGGGATTTCCTCTTTTCCGTCCGGCACTTTTGGGGATTTCCCCTTTTCCGCCCGGCACTTTGGGGATTTCCACTTTACCGCCCGCTGGACAGAAAAAGGACGCTTTCGAACGCTTCAACCGTGGACGAAAACCAAACTTTCGGTGTAGGCGTGACAAAAAAGAGGTTACATTGTATATACAGATAGTTTATATATTTTTAAATTAAATTGTAGAGGTCTGTTGCTTTTAAAAATGGCATCATCTTTCGATTTTTTTTGCTGTTGGGTTCCAGTGCAACATCCTGCATGCTATTATCTAGTCCGATGATTTGTCGATGTTGACACCAGTAGCGCTTACTCAGCGCTCACAATATCTGTAAGCCCGATATTTTTTTTATCATAAATAAATGTATTTGTAATATACTTATCATTGTCGGTTTGGTTAGTCTCGCATCTCGCTTAATGTAGTTT